CAGCGATAAATTTTTTTTTTTTTCATCTTTTGATTTATTTTTGGTTTTTATTCTTTTTTTTCATTCTTTTTTTTTTTTTTTTGGTTTTTTTTTTTCTTTTTTTTTTTTTTTTTTTTTTTTTTTTTTTTTTTTTTCGATTCATTTTTTTTTGTTGTTTCTTTTCCACTTTTTCCTCTTTAATATATGCATACTTGTTGCCCGCGGCTACTGCTGGCATTTTTTAGGGGGACCTACACAACACATACACGCAGGGGGGCAAGAGCATGTTATGAAATCAAAACAAATTAACAAGAAATAGCAGAATAACACATTACCGATTCCTCTAGAAGCAACATCAGTAGCAACCATTATCGGTGATTTGCCACTTCTAAATTCGCTTAAAACCCAATCCCGCTCAGTTTGCGCCTTATCACCGTGAATTGCAAGCGCTGGCCAACCATCTTGGCGCAAGTATTTTGTAATCTCATCTGCTGTACGTTTTGTGCCAGTGAAAATTAATGTTTTATTATCCTTTTGATCCATGATACGTTCAAGATGTTTGACTAGCCTATATGGGCAATGAAAATAAAGTAATACGTTTAATAAATAATACAGAAATATTGATCTTATGTGAGGAAAATTCCAAAATTATACTTACTTATTTCGTTTTTCGTATTCAGTACAAATCTCAACAGTTTGAGAAATATTATGACTTGCCGACAAATCTAAAGAACCGATATTTACTTGAATGAAATCATGAAGATAATCTTCTGCGAGGCGTTTGACTTCTTTTGGCCAAGTAGCACTCCACATAAGGGTTTGTCTATCCGGTCTGATTTGTTCAACAATCTTTCGAATTTGTGGCTCAAATCCCATATCTAACATACGATCAGCTTCGTCTAATACAAGATATGTCACCCGGCGGAGATTGGTTCGCCTTGATTCTAACATATCGATTAATCGACCAGGTGTAGCAATACAAATCTCAACACCATGAGAAAGTTCACGTGCTTGAGGACCTTTGGGAACACCACCGTAAACGCAGGTATTTTTGATCTTTGATGACTTTCCAAATTTCGTGCATTCTTGTTGGATTTGCACAGCCAATTCACGTGTCGGTGCAAGAATAAGAACAATAGGTCCATCACCAGGTTGAAGAAAAGGTTGTGCATTTATGTGAACAATAGCAGGCAAGCAGTAAGCTAAGGTCTTCCCCGATCCAGTTTCAGCAATACCAACCACATCACGACCAGAAAGTGCCATTGGCCATCCTTGTGATTGGATTGGCGTTGGGGAAGTGAAACCTAGGTCGAGAATTTCATTCAAGACGTAGGCTGTTAAACAAAAATGGTTAGAGTTATGAATATATTTAATAAATAAATTATCATAAGACTTTGTACGTACCTGGAAAATTGGCTTCTTCAAAAGTTTCGACTGGTTTTGGGATATCGAGGCCAAAAACTTTCATGTCGTGTTTTTTCCGGTATTCATCTACTTCGACTTGAGAACGTGAAATGACATTGATATGTTCGCGATAAAAGTTCTTTTCAAATTTAGGAAGTTTTGAAAAATCCCAATCTTGTCTTGACAAGCCTGATCCAAGATTTGTCATACGATCATTTTGGTGTGTTGTATTGCCACTGGGTCGATAGCTAGAACTGGCGTAACGCTCACCACTACTCCCATATTTATCATATCCGGGGCTGCGTTCTCTATAATGTGAGCTGCCACGAGAATCATACCTAAAAAATTTTTAAAAATGTAGTGTCATCGTTATCCTAAACAATTGATCTTAGATAAAAACATTATTGCTATGTGTATATATATATGTTTGTCGTTGTCGTCGTTGTGACAAAGCAACAAAACACTTTTTTTTTTTTATTTAAAAAGTAATCAAATTAAAACATCTTTTGGCATAAAATAACTTACTCTTTTCGATCTCTTCGACTGCGGTCATCATAAGAACGATCTACTCCACGGTCATTACCATAACGTGAAGACGAAGTATAAGATGAGCCATAATTTGATGAGTTTTTATACGAAGAACTACCGTTTCCATAAGATGACGATTGTGGAGGCGCATTGCCACTGTTGTAAGTTGTAGATGTGGTGGCAGCTGCACTATAGATCGTTCCTGGTGGAGCGGGAACCCCTGGAGCACCGTAATTTGTATAAGACATATTTCTCTTTGATTATAATAAACACGATAAAAATTTAAAAAAGAAAAAATTAACGTTAAGAGCTTTATATTAATTTTTTTTTTTCATAAACTAGTGCAGCAAAAATACTATTCTTGATAGATCTGCAGTACTGATCTTGATGTGTTAAAAAAAAATTATTTGAGTACTGTTATTGATAGGTTTCTAAAAACGTACATATACTTTACTATATGTAGTAATCTAGTATCTTTTTTTTTAGAACCCTACGTATCAAGAACGGTATGTAAATTATTATTTTTTTTCCACCTATCAAAACAGTACCGATGATCCATCAAGAATGGTATTTTAGCACTAGTGCAGCCAATCACAATGCAATGATATTAAAATTTATCTTTATAACGATCGACATGTCATTATAATTCAAGCAATACGTATAAATTTATCAGGCAGAATTAAGATTTTAACTATCCACTAATGAATATAGAAGATTCAATGAATATTCGAATGCTTGAATATATTATAATAAAATCCCAAAAATTTTATTTATTTAATAATTAATATATCGATATATTTAATAGCAAAGGTTGGATATTAAATAATTTTAACTTTTTTTTTTTTTAATCTTCAAAGGTGAGAATAATTCTAACTTTTATAAAAAATTTCTTTTAATTTTATAAAAAAAAACATTTGTTGCTTTATTAATATTATATAAAAGTTTATTAAAAGTTGTTACAACTGAGTTAGATAAACAAATAATTAATAAATATTTAAAAATTCTTTATTTTTTGTTATCAAAAAATTTCATCATATAAAGTTATTATAATAAAATATTTGTAGATTTCAAGATATATAAATATAAAAAACTAATAAGTTTTTTTCTTTATTGCATTTATATTTATTTATTTATTTATTTATTTATTTTTATTTACCTTCACAATGTTGCGAAAAAGCGAATTTTTATTAGGTATTTTAGATAGTATATTTTTGGTTATCCTGTCCTGTACCATCTATCACAATCATGCCACCCCATAACCTTGTGCTGCTTCATAACCATAGCAGAAGTGTTGTTCAGCTGTTTTGTTCTTACCAGTTTTTTCGTAACATTTTAACTATATTATGGTCTAAACTGAAGACCACACAGATCGACATCTGCTACACTATTTGTACTCTAATTCTATAGATAACCCAGTAGGGTTCTCATACTACTGAGTTGCCCTAGGGAGAGTGTAGTATATACCCCCTAATCTTTCTATATTTTATGCATTTCCAGATTAGGCTACAAATACCTTCTGCAGCAGCTGAAACCATCACTAGCAGTCAGGACAAATCATTAAACCACACAATTTCAGTATCTGGTGCTCTTGCAAGGTTTGTTCTGATTCCAATACTCACATCAAGCCAGTCTTATACCGATCCTTCCTCAACTACTAAACCAGTTAGCTTGGACAGATTGTTGTATCTAGGCTTTAAGTGTTTTTTGGTTTTACTCCCTTTGGTTCCTAATTCTATAGCATAGGACCTTTTCCTCTGGTGCAACTTTGGCAATCAGGTTGGTGGACCCTTTTTGCTCCAGAGTTTTTCGTCTGGTTCTTCGGTCTCCGGTTTCTGATTTTTTCGTAGTATTATCAAAGATCTTTACTACCTCTTTACTCAGGTTTTGCCAAATAGGTTTCAATTATTCTGGTTCCTTGAATTTGGATCGCCTAAGAGCTTTCATTTTAAGATGATAGTACCAAGATTATAGGTAATATATCCAACCGATTGACGAATAATTGTTACTGAACACAGGCATATTTTTCTAAAACCATCTCCGGTAGGATTCGAACTCTAGATCTGCCACTTGGGAGTGACAACTTAACTACTACTCTAAGTCACCACACCTTTGTATTTATATTTATTAAAATATACTATCTAATTTATTTGATATCTGTTTGTGCAGTATATCTTTTAAAATATAGTAGAATACAGACAAATTTGTCTGTGTTTTTATACTTTTTTTAGCTCTGATTTACTTTTTTAAAAAACTAAAATAATTTTTATTTTTATTTTTATAATATTACAAACAAGTAAATTTTTATTAAGTATTTTAATAGTATATTCTTAATTAATGAGAATATAGTTAGCTATATATGTAATTTTTGGTTGCTTATTTAAATAGTCTGTCTAAAGATTCTATACTATATATCATATCTATAACCTAACTAAGAGATTACCTATTTAAACTTTCTGATATTCTCTGTTCTGTACTACTATCACAATTACACTGACTTATAATTTCGTGCTGCTTTAATTGAAGACTACTCAGATCAATATATGCTATATTACTTGTGTTCTAATTCTATAGATAATCTAATAAAGTTCTCATATTATCAGATTATACTAAAGAAGGTATAGTATATACTACTTTAATCTTTCTATGTCTCATACATTTCTAGAATATCTTTCACAGTAACCAAAACCACCACTAGTGGTTAGAACTAACTATTAAACTGCACAATTTCAGTATTTATACCTTTATAAGTTTTATTTCAATTCTTATATCTGTATCAAATCAGTCCTTATGCTGATTTCTCCCAAACTATCAAACCAGTTAGCCTGTATATGTTGTTATACCTAGGCTTTAAGTGTCTTTCAGGTTTACTTCTTTTGGTTTCTAATTTTGTAGCATAGAACCTTTTCTTCTAATGTAACTTCAGTGCCCAGATTGATAGACCCTTTTATATCCATAGTTTTATCTGATTCTTTGATTATTAGTTCTAGCTTTTCATAGTATTGTCAAAGATTTTTACTATCTTCTTGCTTAGATCTTATCAAATAGATTTTAATTATTCTAGTTTTTTAGATTTGGATTGGCTAAGAGCTTTTATTTTGAGATGATATATCAAGGTTACAGGTAATATATTCAACTAATTGTCAAATAAATATTACTAGTATACAGGTCTATTTTTCTAAAAATGTCTCCAGTGGGATTCGAACTTTAGACCTGCTGTTTGGAGGTAATAACTTAACCACTACTCTAAGTTACTACACTAAAATAATTAAATAAAACTTTATACAATTATAATTGAAAATAAGAATTACTTTTTTGTAGTATTTATTTTTAGATTATATATAAAAAATTTTAAATTACTTATAAACCAAAAATATATAATTTTAAAAATAATTTTAAAGCAAAAATTTTTTATTTTATCTATAACAAACTTTTTAAATATTAATTTTAGACTTATAGTTTAAATTAAAGATTGTAATTTTAATTAGATTTTTATTATTTGATACGAATGCATTGTGACGCACTCTATAAGATTTGGTGTAATATGAAATTAAATCAAATCAACAATGCATTAATTTAGGGTAAGGGTTAGCCCTAATTTAGGATTAAGTTAAATTGTAGATAAATGTTAATTATACCCAAAATTTTGCAAGAAATTTTTTTTGTTAGAATGCAAAAGATAGTTTCATAAGCAAAATTATGAGTTACATGCGATTTTTTCAAAACATTGCTATTTTTTCGATTTCACATTACACCTTGATTTTACGATCTGATTGGTTGATCAGGTGAGTACGTTACAATGCATATGTACTAAATTATAATAGTCTTTTAATTATTATAAATTTTAGAATTTATTTATAAAAATTAATACTTGTCTTAAAAGCAAAATTTTTTTAGCTTTAAAAATATATAAGGCTATACAAATTTAATTAATTATTTTTTATAACCTGGCCAGGTCAAATTTTGAAAACTCTTGAAGAAAATTTTTTTATATGTTTTAATAGTCTGATAGATTTTAAAAAAAATATTTTAAAAATTTTATAAAATTTTATATATAAAATTTAAAAGAAAAAGCCAGCTGGCCGGATCATTTTTAAGATTTAATGTTATAAAAAACAAAAAATTAATTTTGTATGGTCTAAAATTTTAAAAAACTTTAATTAATCAAAAGTTTTTTAATAATTTTAAAACATTTTCTTAATAAAGTTAATAAAGTAAATCTTTAAAAGTCTTTTTTAATTAGGAAGTATTTAAGATTTTATTAAAAAAAATAAAGTTTATAAATAAAAATACAAGCATATTTGTCTGTATTATAATTTAAAGAGTAAGTATTTAAATACAGTTAATCCTTCTATAATTACATGTTTTGTTTGTTTAAAACTTTTTAAAAAAATATACTTATAAAGAAGTTGTGATTATATAGAGATGGTTTTTTATATATTTAATAGTAATTTGTTTTTAAAATATTGAATGTGATAAGGAGAAGTATTTTATATAATGTGATTATAAAAGAGATGACTATAGAGGGGTTGACTATAATTATAATTAGTTTAAATATTTAGCATATGGAGATTTCTATGATAAATTTTAATTGATCAAGTATACTTAGATTATCAACTAATATAGATTTTCATATAATATCTTATTAGATAAATAAATGTACATATATATTATTTATTATTTACTTTACTATTGCCTTACAAAATACTAATATTAGACATAATAATAGTAGTTAGTATATAAATAATTAACTCTAGTATAATGTCTAAAAATTAGACAAATGATTTACAATAATTTTTTTTCTTTATAAATATAGACATAGACATTAGATACCTCTAATTTAGGCCAAAATTATAGATAATTCAAGCTAGAAATTTTTTTTAAACAGATTATAAAAATAATAAATAAGAATTATTACTCGAACAGAACTATAAAATAGTTATCGAGAAACTTGTTAAAATTATTTCTCTCAAATTTAATTATCTATAAAAATATAATGAGAAACTTGTTAAAATTGCTTCTCTCAACTATAGAATATCTATAAAAACATAATAAAAAACTAAAGTGATTTGATGAATTCTTGTTCATTTAATCTTAAATTTTATAGACAATATCTTATCATAGTTCTTTCCAATAATATTAATGCACAGTAATAAATTTAGAACCAAAAAAAATTTTGCTACTAAGATCGTCTCTAAAAACATCTTCATCACAGCTATAATTCTGAATTTAGATGACAAACAAAAAATCC